TCGCCGCGGTGGGGTGGTCCAGCAGCTCAGCACCACACATTTCAGCCTGCTGCTGGAGGCCAGGGCTGCAAAGATGGGAGCATGGAGAGGTCTGGGGCGGATGGACAGACAGACAATGTCAGATGTTTTACTACAGCTCAGGAAATTTCATAGGTTGTTTGAGAGGAGGTGGAGGTCAAGTGCATTTGGGGGCAAGTGGGTGGTGTGAATCCCCCTCCTCCGGAAGGTTTCCCCCAAGACACGCTCGGGGTAAGGAGCCTCCATGCAGCTTGGGGGAGGGCTCGTTTGTTTGTTTTCTGGGGCTAAACATCTCAGAGAAGCTGCTGCTAGGAGACAGATGTGAGTTTTTAGATGAAATCCAGAAACATCAGCCTTGACGCACACTGGAATGGAAACTCATCCACATAGAAAAAAATGAAAGAAGAGGGTGGTTTCGTTCTGCATGCTGCACAGGCCAGGCAGCCATCCTTACTGACTCTCAGTCCTTCTCAGAATGGCACGCATGCAGAGCTGAGACATGGTGTGTCCTTTTCCCACACAGGGAGGAAAAACACGGGGCGGGTCCTCCCACACTACATGAGCGAACACCACGGGCTCTTGTTGAACAGGGGTCAGTGCTCCTGGGGAGGGGGGGGACTGCATCTGGCTCAGCCCCGGGGCAGTCCCTGGTGCAAACAAGGAGGGTTGCTGAAGCGGAGCAGCAGCACTCTCAGGGATCTTCTGTAGGGCCTTGGGAAACTCCCTTCTCCAAGCTACTGAAATCCAGGGGTAATAATTAACCAAGTTAAGTGTTGCACTCTAATAGTAGCCATGTGTCCTTCATGGAGTGTGTGTGTGTGTGTGTGTGTGTTAAAAATATTTGTGTTTGAAAGCTTTCTTGCAGCACTTCGCACACATATGATCCTATTCTGCTTTCAGCTGGAAGCTTAGAGAGCTTCCCTTGAAAGACGCTCAGGAAAACGAATCTGAAGTAGCTAAAACTGGGAATGGGAAAATGATTTAAATTAAAGGGATGCAGGCCTGTTCCCTCGGAGAACTGCAGAAAGGAGTGAGTGGGGAAAACCCCAGCTCTCTTCTGACAGGGACTGGAAAGTCCTGTTTGGAAAACTGGACAAGGAGACAGTCCTGAGAAAAACTGAGCGCTGGAGCAAGGGGTGGGACGGAGGGCAGTCCAACCTCCAGGGTGTTGGGGGGAGTTTCTGTTTCAACCCCTCTGGACTTTGGCTTCTTACATTATGGCCTGACCAATGTGCCAGCGTTTGAAGGGGGCCTTTTGGCCCCAATGTGAGCTTCAGAGAGCTCTCTGAACAGATGGGGAAGCGAGAGGTGCCAGAGCTGTGACAGGCGCTTGCTGGAGACGGGGCAGGCTGTGCAGCGGCTGTCCTGGCAGCGTGTGCCATCCTGGCAGGTGGGATGGGACTGTCGTGCTCCCTCGCCCCACGGGATCCCATGCAGGTCTTGCTCTCCAGCAAAGCACTGGCGCTGGGAGCACAGCAATGCTGTAAAAGCCCTTCCTCCCACCCCTTGAAGTGAGAGCGGGCTTTCCTCCAGGGAGAGGGTCCTCCCTGCTGTCCCTGCAATTGTTTTTTCTAGGAACAGCCAGATGATTAATGATTTCCACAGCTCAGCTTCTGCAGAAAGATGGTATGTGCTGGAGGAGGGTGGTGGAAGGTTTTTGCTCACGATTGCAAAGGTCAGGCTGGTGCTGGAGCCAGTGGGAGGACGCAGCTTCCCTGTGCACATCCCTAGGTGCAGGGTTGCCTCTTGCCCTTGTTTTTAACACGTTCCAGTGTTATGGAATGCAGAGAATGGAAGAGAAGGGTTCCCAATTTGCTGGGGGAAAATCAGGCCCTGGCCTCTGCTCTCCACCATTGCCGCCCCGGCAGCCTGCATTTTATCTGTTACCACCATAAGGTTCTTGAGAAGTCCAGGGATGATGCCGAGTGAGCTGAAAGGCAGGAGAGCAGGGACTGAAGGTGGCCCCTGGGTTGTGGCTTGGGCGGGGGAGGCCTGTGGGGAGCCGGAGGGGGAGGAGGAAGAGGAGGGTGTGGGAGGAAATTGGGAGTTTAGCTATTTGTGTGCAATAAAGGAAGTATGGGAATATCCCTGCGGGATTATCAGAGATTTACAAGAACGGTCACGGGGGAAAGGCTGAAAGCAAAAATGCAGTCTCATGGTGATCAATGTCAAGATGAGTGAATGAGTTCATGGTGAGCTGGCATTGCAGGAGAAGATGGGGGGCTGCAGAAAGGTGGTCACCCTGGAAGGGAGAAAAGACCAGTCAGAGGCTGATATGGGTGCTGAGGGCAGTACGAGCAGAGGACGCAGGCATGGCAGGAGCTAAGGAAAGGAAGTAGGCTAGTGGAGAGCGGGTCAGAGTCACGAAACTAAACCTGAACTTCACAGGACCTTGATCTGCAGCAGCATGTCTGCTCTTGAAGCTTCCTGAGCCATCCAGGGCAGGTGATGAAGGAACTGGGGAGTGAATTTTGAACCCTGGGCGAGCAGGGACGCACTGGCAGGAGGACAGGCAAGAGCAAGCTAGTGTGCTCTGCTAATAGCAGCTGTGGCAGCTGAATAAGGAAAAAATGATGCTAGAAGAATAAATGCATAAGGAGTTCTTGCTCCGAGTCCTACAAATGGGACTGTGCAACATATCTGCCAGAATGCCAAGAAGGCAGCATGAAGGCCAAAACCACTCTCAGAAGCTCTTTCTAAAGACATAGGTGGGGAAAAGGCAGAGACAGGTGTCATGCAGCAGTTAAGGGCATGTATTTGAGACTGGGGGTGTAAGGGGTGACCTACAGTGGACAGTTGTTACACCAAGTGAGAAGGCAAAGCTCTGCACTAAATAGCCTCACATCAGCAATGCACAAATACACAACATGCCCCAACCTTTTATGCTAACAAACACATATTCTCACATGAATCTGTCCTGCTTGCTTCACCTGCAGTTCCTCCACATATGATACTTGGTTACTTTTGCATGACTGGCGGAGGCAAACAGCAGCATAACCAGCATGTGGTACCTGGGCAATGATTTGTTTAGCTGCAAAACTTCCTTGTACAGTAAAGCATTTGCTTGATTTATTAAGTCACAATAGAATTCATGCAGGATTATGGCAGCACCTTCCTAAGATACTGTTTGTCTAAATGTTGCAATGGGCAGCAGAAAACCTATTGCTGCCTCCGAAACTAGCCGGCCAAGCTGGTACTCCCGATAACTGCACTTTCCTCCCTCCCTCTGGCCTTTGAATAAAAAGTATTTGCATTCAGATGGTATCTATTTAAATATTTGCATACCAGGTCCAGCTGTACCCAAGCACTTCCAGAGTACCAATATCTATAGCTGGTGAATGCCTCCGCAGGGCCTTGACAGCATTTCCAGCTCCTGCTTTGCAAGGGGGAAGCTGAAGTGTAGCTACTGAGAGGAACACTGCCTTTTCTATTTCCAGCCATGTTTAGTCAAGAAAGGCCGAAAGTAATTTTGCTGCCGAAAAACTTGTAGCAGCAGGTGGAGAACCCCCCCCCAGTCCCCATCCCCAGCTCATATTTAGTGGTCATTCAGAGGGCGGGGTGAGTCCCCAGAAAGACGAAGGGTTTGGCAGGTTCTCACCCAGCCCCACACTTGGAAATCTGTGCAGGTTTGCAATGCAGGCATGGCCTTGTCTGCCAGAAGGAAGTTTCAGCACATACACCTGGGTTGTGCTCATGCAATGAGAGTGGAAGGAAAATAAAAATGACTCAGGATGACAATTTTATATAATCCTTTCCACAAGGGCCTTTAGCTCCCATGCAAATTAGGAAGCACCCAGTCAGCTATGGTGCTCTTCCTCATACCAGAGAGCCCTCCTGAGAGCAGGTCGTGTGTCAGGAACCCCTCGGGAAGAACTGGGCAGCAAAGGGAATGGGTGTCCCTGTGCAACCTGGAGCCATGGCCCTCTCCAGCAGCCTGAGCCGGGCCGGGTGCCAGCAGCATCAAAGTCTCCCGGCCAACAGTCCTGGCAGAGCTCGGTCCTGCGTCAGCAGCTCTGCCGCACCCCGTCCCCGGCCAGGGGGTTACAGCACAGGGGGAACAGGGCATGGTCACCCTTCACGCAACCCATCCTTTACGTGGTCACACAACAGGCTAAAAATCTGCGGCTAAAATTAGTCCTGCGCTGCGACACGGTCCCTAAAGATAATTAGGGGTAGGGAAGGATTTGAGCAAAGGGATTCTGTCTGCCTGAATACTGGAGCAGAACACGCAGGAGTAACTGAAGTGGGTAAAGCCACATCCCCCACTGCTGTGAGCTGGACAAGGAGAGCAGCAGCTCTCGCAGCGGGGAGGCCCCGCGCCTGAGTTTTGGGGGTGGAAAGCAGCAGCATGTGTTCCCAGGCGTGTGCTCCCTCTTCCCGTGGAAATCCCCTTTGGAAAATCCAAAGGTGTCCAAGTTCAAACTGGAGCTGGGCCGGTTGATAAACGAGAGGGCGGGTGGGCAGGCACAGGGCTGCACTGCAAACCTCCAGCCTCCCCTGGCAAGTCCCAGCAAGAGCTGTGAGCATCAGAGCTGGAACAAAAGGTGCCACGAGGGCGGGTGGGGGTGCTGCCACAGATGGCCTCAAAACCCCTCTAGCAGCCAGGCAGCCTGGTGCTTGGGTGACAAAGGGGGAATCCCAGCCCCCTGACCTGCCGCAACAGGCGCAGGAAACAACACCTACATCTGCTTCCAAATTTAGCTGCAGCAGAAGGGCTGAGAATGACGAGGTGCTTAGATGTCTTACTGCTGCTGAGGTGAAACACCTAAAATCCCCAAGCCTGTGACCCTATAGGTCTACCAGGTGTTAAATGTTTCTTAAAAAGCAAACCAGATGGATTCCCCCACATCTCAGGACAAGGAGGTGGGCAACGAACCACTTCACAGACCAGGTACAGTAATCTGACTTTTTTTTAATAAATACATATCTCACATGTACCAAAATAATTATAAACAAAAGATGTACAGTATTTACACAATATACAGTTGCTGAAAAGTGTAGCAATTATGACACACATGGTGTGAAACTCAGTTTCCAATGCCCACAGTTAACATTATTGCTACTTTCTCCTAACAGCCAGGAGGTCACCAGTCAGTCCCTTGGTGTGACCCCTCTGCCCAGGAAGCCCCACCGAGAGCAGCCAAGGTCAGTTGGTAAGGCCAGGCACTGCCACCAGTCCAACACAAATTAAAACTGTCTCCAAGATGGGGTGTTGGTATGAGCCTGCCTCGCCACGAGAGAACACGTGTTCCCCTTGGTACCTAAGGCCACAAGATAGCTCTCTGCAACTAGCAGGCTGGATGTGCAGTCTGTCACCTTCGTAGGGTTGAGAAGATTTGCTACGTGGCTCTGTATCTGGTGGTGTAAATAATCACAGATCTCTACTGAAGTTACACATCCCACTCTTGTATTTAAACACAGGCCAGAACCTAGAACCATCCAGTTACATGCTCCTTGCTGGGCAGTGTAGTATTTCCCTCCTGGTTTTTCCCTCTGCATTGCGACTTTCTTTTTAAATGAAGAAAGTCAGTCCTTTTTCTATACATATGTACACAGTCACTTCTTTTCACAGAAAGCTTGGCTTTAAAATGACAGCTGTCGTCCTCCAATAAGGCAGTCATCATATATAAGCTGCAAGAAAAAACAAAAGGCTGTTAATGCAAAACTCTTACTGGGAGTATCATATCCACTCTGGGATAACTGCCAAATTCTGCATGCCCTGACTTTGGCAGCGTATGAAATTTCTGCACTGAAATGGTTACATTTGCCATGTAACAGCACTAAGAACGTTAGAAAAACAAATTCTGGGGAAGACAAAACCAGCCATTAACTTGAATTTTATCTCATGAGTTTCTGTAGTTGTCAGCAACAGAACAGTGTTCAGAGAACCATGTTGCGTTAACCTCTCTTCCCTCATGTTATTTTTTACTTTTTATTCTTAAATTTACTCTATTTATATGCTTGCCCCAACTGCCATTTTGCTGATGGTTGATAGCAAAACCTTACTTCAGGGGCTGTTTATACCCATCTGTTATACAGGTAAGAGGTCACTGGAAAATGTCATCAGAGCAGCACCAACAAAAAAAACCTACAAAGGGCAGGATTTTCCCCTTCTCTTGAAAAGTCCAAATAGCTACTTACTTCATCCTCTGTGAATTCAGACTCAGATTCACTGCTCTCCTCGTCTTCGCTTTCTGGCAACATCTGCAGGTCAGCTGTGGTCAGCTGCTTCAGCTGTTCCTGTATGCTGGAGTTGTCTCTTCCCCACGTGAGCTGATAGGGGGAATAGCCCTGGTAGGTCACTTTGTTCACATCCGCCCCATGTTGCACCAGAAGCGACACCAGGTCTGAATTCTGCAGGTCGACAGCCAAATGTAGTGCCGTTCTGCCATTGCAGGGCTCCTGCATGAAAACAACCCAAGATTTGGCATGTTAGGAGAGCCAGAGCCAGTGCCAGACCTGTTGATTCTTATGATTACACAGCCCTGCCCAGTTAAATTCATGGTATACATTACATACCTGAGCATTCACATCTGCTCCCAAGGACAGCAAGTATTCAACAATAGCCAGGTATCCTTGAATAGATGCCAAATGGAGACATGTATGTCCTGCAAAACACAAACGAAGGGAAGATTTGAGTAAGTCTAACCTAATGCCCTATCATTCAGTTAAAGTCAAGATGACAGGACAGGATGATATCTAAGTCTGTGATTCATCCATGGCAAAAGGGTGTTCTCCAGAAGAGCTTTCCAGCTTCCATTAAGTATGAGTAACAGGGCTGGATTTTGGAAAGATTTCTTAGAGGCTTTATTTCAGTGTTTGACTGCAACTTATTCTAAAGAAAAAAAAAAAAGGAGTACTGCAAAAGTACTCACTAAAAATGCAAAATTCAAAGCCGTGAGACCCAATAAACAGTGAGGAGGTCTACAAGACAGTGACATTTTGAACTTAGGCACTGGTGTGTGCTTTGGACTCCTCAACTCTCAAGTGGGCATAAAAATCCTTTGCCACCTCTCCAGAGATCTTTGAGCTCTATGAGACATCAACCCTATCCGCAGTACAACACTAACATCGATGTACAGCAGTGTGCCTGTACCATTGTAGTTGGTGGCCTGCAGAACAGCGAGGAGGTGTTGGGGCTGGCAGTACTGCGTGAGGACGCTGACGCTCCTGAGGGAGCCTTGCTGGCAGGCAATGTGCAGGGGGGTGTTTCCTCGGAAGTCCCGGATTTCCAGGTTGCATCCAGCCTTCAGAAGATGCTCGGCAATTTCGGGTTGATCAGTGATTACTGCCAGGTGAAGAGGAGTCTGCAGGCAAAAGAGAAAATGCAAACCTGTAAGTTACATTGCAAACTTGGCAGCAACATCTGGACAAACAAGACCCCTTGACCGCTTGGCGATTTGTGATTGTGATTAAGAACACACCCCAGAAACTCAGTTGTTTATGCTTCCTGACATACTGTATGGTTGCCCTTTAGTCTGGAAGTGATGCACTTAGGGCTCTCCAGATACGGAACAGTCAATCCATGTGAAGGGTATCATTAACATCCCAGTAGAGGGATGCAACCCATTGCATCACATTTGAAAAATGCACGCGTTAAATGCCACTCTCTGGGGAGAGGAAGCGTTGTACTAACACTGGCTGGAGCCATCTGGGGACTTTCCCGAATGATTTAAGTAGGCTTTGATTTAATTGATTCCATCAATTAAAAAAAAAAATTCAAAAGGACTTTTTTGAGGGAATTCCCCAGAGGGCTTTTGTGGGGGTTGTGGGGGCTGAACTGGATTTGGAGCTGCAGAGGTGAAAGTACCTGGCTGAGGTTGTTCTGGAAGTTCAGGAAAGCATGGTCCCCGGTCGTCTGCCGGATCACCTCCAGGCTCAGGGCTTTTTCCTCATGAATAATCGCCAAGTGGAGAAAACTGCAGGAAAAAAAACCCAAACGACCCACGTTAAAACCGCCAAATCTCACGCTAAAACTCCCCCAAT